ACTGTCAAGTGTCAACTACTTGTTGACACCGCGTTCAACATGTTAAATATGGATGGAATGTGTAATATATATTATTATTTTTTGGAAATATGTTATAATTTAAATATAATAGTATATATTTATAATTTTTTTATTTTTATACATTGAAGAGCACCCTTATACCAGTTAACCAAATGCATCTGCATATGCCCACTCACCTCCTTCCACCTATATCTAACGACTAACACTGCCTACATTATATTATATCCTTAAAATTATTCATTGGCTACCATTATAATTGATAGAAATAAAAAATACAATCAGTTTCTTTAATTACTTATAAATTAGTTTATTGTTTCAATATGTTAACAATATATTATAATAACCCAATTTAGTCTAAAATATATAGATTAACAAATCATGATTGCTTTTATCTTAAAAATTATTAACATAAAAATTGTCAGAAAATCAAAGCTTCTCAGTTAAAAATGGAAATTTAGGTATTTATAAGAATATTGAAATAATTAGATTTAATTCAAAATAAATTAACACTTGGTTGACAAAAAAAAAAAAAAAGAACCATTGAATAATTTGAAAAAAAAAGAATTATTTGATAAGTTAAAAAAACAAATTATTCAGATTCGCTGTCACAAAAATCATCGCTTCTTATAATTTCATCAGAGTTGATTGATGAATTGTCGTTATCGACATAATCTTCAGCTGATTTATCATCTTTTTTTTTAATTACTTCCTATAATAGTATTACAGTAATTTAATTTTTGTTAATGTCAAGAAAATATATTTTTGCATAAATACTGGATTACAATTAAACAATTTAAAAATAGAAAAATTGGTGGATTTTTTAAAAACAATAAGATAAAATGTTATTGTTTTGCCTTGGTTGGCAGGTTTTCAGAATAATTGTGTATTTATGCAAATAAACATGTATGAAAGATATATTTATATTTGATGTACATACATTTAATGTGTTGAGGAGATTAGTTGTTTTTTCAAGTGATTTTTTACAAGATGAATTTTCTTCTTTCAATGCCGTGATTAAAGTATGTAATTTACTGTTTTGTTCAAGAACTTCCTCTAAAGCCTTTCTACGACGTTCTGCAACAACCTCCCAATATTTTTCACTAGTACTTGGACCAACTAAAACAGTAAGTTTGTAATTACTCTGCATAATATTGTTCATAAAAAGTTGTCAAATATAAAATACAATTAGTAAATGCATACCAATGTTGTTGAGATCTTGGATAATTAACTTTTTATAGAGAGATGGCTTTGCTTTGGCATCTACTACAGACTTATTTTCATCAGTTTTTACATCTACTTCAGTCTCAAATTGTGGCTTCGATATTTTAGGATCAGGTCTTATGTAACACACATACACAAATACAAATAATATTTATACTATAGTATACCATAAATCTAAAAATAAATTCGTACTTGTTTTCGTGAAATCTTCCGGTCCCAACCAAATTTTCTTTGTCGACGCCGGATGGCTGCAATGTTTGCAAGCACTTTCTGGTACCTTTTTTGTTGACCATCTGAAACAAATTCCATATTGTAACAGTAATTAGTAAGTTGGTCAGTTTTGATAATAATATAATGGTTATGATTAATTAAATTCAGTGTTCATACTCTCAAATATTTCCCAACTTACCTCTGCAATCTATAAGTTACAACAACAAGATACGAATGTCAAATAAAAATATAAAAATTATAATTGTTAACTTGAACCATAGAGAATAACTTGTACTAAAAATGTACTTTGCACGTGAAGACGGTCTGACGGTGTTGCAGTTGCATTAGTTGCAAGTTGCTCCGTTGCTCGACAGTTCGGTTGGCGGGCGATCAGTGAAAAACACTGGACGCTGGGAATTACGGCGTTCCGTCAGTGGCCGAACTGATCGTCGGTTTATTGTTGTGCGCGCACGCGCGACTATTTTCGCGCCGGTCGTAGCGGCCGCCGCCGGCCGTGTATGATACATTATTATTACTATTTACTATTATAATTCGTATTCGGCGTGCAGCCGACTATTCTTTATACACATATTTGTAATTTTTGTGGTCGCAATACTCGTCTACAGACTGTCCATAATATGATCATATTATTACGGTCGTAACTCGTAATAATTTCATTAATAATATTATATTGTATGATGGGTAAACGGTAGTTGTACGTTAACGCGTTGGTCGTCCTTATTATTATACGACACACGTCATCGCTAAATGTAATTTTTTTATCAGCGGGTGTGCGGAACGTCGTCCCACCGCGTACGTAAAACCATAGAGAACAAACTATAAAGAATAGTTCAGCCTCTCCCGGGTGGTACACGACAGGCAGTACGCTGGAACGGCACGCGGACGTACCGAGACGGGCCACTGCCTAGCGAACGGAGACGGTCGCAGGCCGGCACCGAATACCGATAGCGTTGCAACCGTAAAAAGTAAAAACTCGACGGCACACCGCCACCACGCACGAACCGTCGTCATCACCAACCGCCACCGCGCATCGTCTTCAGCAGTTGTAGTAGTTGTTCGTCGTCGTCGTCGTCGTCGTCGTTGTCGGAGGAGGAGGAGGAGGAACGCGAGACTTGACCGTTTTTTCTCTCTCTCGCTCCCTCTCGACCGTAATCGCGTTATTCGTATCGCGCGCGCCCGACGAACGCGACGACCGCAGACCCGGCACAGGCCACAGATGCGTTGCAGCAACCCGGACGCGTCCGCCGCCGACTCTTGACGACGACTGATATTTTTTTTACATTATATATTTTTATTATCTCACACGAGACACGTTTTTTTTTCATTGTCAACGCGTCTGCAATATTGTTTTTGATAATTTCGACCGTTTTTTGGTTTATTTTTTTTGTTGGTTTTTTTTATACTTAACGCACGCATAATATCAATTGTATCCATCGCGCCCGTGGACTACGTACGCGAGTGCGCCGAACCGTCGTAGCCATGGACATGGACACCGACCGCTCGGACCCGTTCATGAAATACCTGGCCGTCGATCGCAATCAGCTCAACGATCAGCCCACACAGGCGGAATGGACCCAGAAACGTCTGGTGTGGGTGCCCCACGAGAGCCAGGGCTTCGTGTCGGCCGGCATCAAAGGCGAACGAGGCGACGAGGTCGAGGTGGAAATCGCCGAGACCGGCAAGCGTGTGCTCGTCGACAAAGATGTCATACAAAAGATGAATCCGCCCAAGTTCGACAAGAGCGAAGACATGGCCGAGTTAACGTGTCTGAACGAGGCCTGTGTGCTTCACAACATCAAGGACCGATACTATTCGGGACTGATATACGTAAGTCAATCACATTGTGGTTTTATTTGTAATCAGACCCATAAAATTGCCTACTTGTTGTGCCTATCGAGTGATATTTAAGATTTCTAACGGCCAGCAACCGGTTTTTAACACTAGCATATCGATGCTGAAGCTTTATTATCCTCCTACGCCTGTGGTAGAATTACATTAGTTTTCCCGACTACCTAGTGTACATAATTAAATATGCGTGTTTATACATCTTATACCTCATACATTAAAGTCACAAAATTTGTCACAAATTGTTATTAGCTCGGTTATTAGTTAAATGTCTAAGATATATACTGAAATCTGCTCTTTATCTACATTCCCACTGTCCAGTTGTCTACAACTTACAATTCATTAAACATAAAATATAATCCAACAATTCAATGATGTATTTAAATAAAATGTACCTAGTCTTTGATGGAAACTTTTAATTGGTGTAGCACTTATCATAAAATGACTTAAAACATTAGCATTATTTTGATATCAAAGACATGTTTGCTTGATGAAACAATATGCATTTCATATTATTTATGCTTAAGAAACAGGTAATTTTTCTTTTCAAACTGATAATTGCCAATTATCAATTATATAGAATGATGTTCATACGACATCTAATAAGACATACAAGCAGTAAATTATTTAGGATTTTATTAGTTACCTACTCATCAATTTTTCTTCTTATTGAAGCTTAGAAGATACATTTAGCCAATTATTTGCCCTCCTTAAATATGTCATAATAATATAATTTAAACAACAAATGTATTCTAGTTTGGTAGGTACCTACACAGTTAATTAAATAATAAGTACATATCATAATTTATAGTTATCCATTAAGTAAAACATTTTTTTGTTATGTACCTACATTAATTGTAGTCTTATATAGATAAGTAATACATCAAATTTTTTTATTCATGCTAAATAATTTATCATGTCTATCCATCATAGGTCTTATATGGATTACCTATAGCAACTAACATGGTACCTACCCAAGTTAAACATAAAATAATAGAAGATATAAAATATGGTTATCTTAAAATATTTATATTGGTACCTAGAGACTACTAATACCTATAAAAAAAAATTTATTTTGGTGTCTAACGGGGTGTCTAATAATTCCTCAAATAATTCTTATCTGTATAGGATGCAAATAAGTATAATTAAAACAGGGATTAAAACTTACCTACCTACCTAGTTGTTTTCTCTTACTGACTTTTTAATTTTGATAAGGGAACTTTAAAGGAAATTTATTAGGTAAAAATAAAAATTGCTATTAAATATTGTATCAACTCAAAACTTATAGAAAAGTTATACCTTTAAAAAAATATTTAATAAAAGTCTAGTCAGAACCTGGCCTAAGGTTTGATGCGGTGCTCAAAATATCATACAAATATATATAAGGCCAACTCTAAGTATAGTCTTAAAAAAAAGTTATAATTCCAGGTAGTATGTACATACTTATTAATTTGTAGAACATAATTATAATATTCACAAATTATCACAATTGTATTACAATTAGAATAATAATTATTATAATTACTTATACTTCATTAATCTTAACACATTTCATCATCAGTTCAATACTTAAAATAATAAAACTTTTTTATAGATACCAAGGTATTGAGATATTATTTCTAAAAATTAATTTAAAACAATGAATTAACTAATATAAAAATCATAAACATAAAATTAAATAGTGTCAGATGTGCTAACATTTTTGTTTGGGTATTTTTAAATTAAATGTCATCAATTTTGTTTGAGTGAACTTTTTTTATACATTTAAGTATATCTATTTGGTACCTAGTTAAGTTATTTCTTTTAATTAGATAAATATTAATATTAGGTTACCTTTACTATTCATATAATGTAATCCATATAAGTACTTGAATATAATATAGTGGTGTAGGTATTTATTTAGAAATATAATGGTTAAATATCTGTAGATTAAATACCAACTGTTTTAATGTGAAAGTTTKAGACGGTTTTAAATTAGGAACTAGTAAACCATATTTGGTTTCAAAATTATACAAGTAGTCAATAGGACAAGGTTGTCAACAACCCTTTACATTTTTACCCATATAAATTTAATTATTCAAAAGTTTATAACGATCAATCATTTGTTGTTGTTATACCTATTATATGTTGGTACTCTATTTTAATACATATCTACTTATAGAAGTTTTTAAAGTACCTACTATAGTTGAGTTACATATCAGAAGTTATTTAGATATGGATTATATGGATAGTAATTATATTAATGTATATTGAAATGTATACAACATATACTTATTATAATAATATAATTACTTAACACTATTAAATAAATTCAACTTTTGGACTTGTAGCTGTTAAATAAATTTCCTTTCATAATAATGATACTTCTTATATATATATATATTATAACACTGATAGTTAAAATATTTTTGTTAATACCTAAAATCTAGTCTATAACTACTTTAGTATAATGTATATATTTATAAAAACATCAAATAAAGTATGTTGTAACCCTGAGTATTCCTTATTCAGAAAAGTTTAAAGTTAAAATTATAATTATGTAGGTATATCAAGTATATTACATAATGGTTCGTATAAATATAATTAACATCTACAATTTATAAAATAATAAAAATAATTTTTAATTCAAATTTAATGATAAAATAAAATATGTAAAAGGTAGGTAGGTACCATTTAGAATTATAGATTAGCTACTTTAGACATGTAATTCGACAAAAACGTAACATTTTTAATCAAATATTTGAGTAGGTATATATTTTATTGTTTTCATAAAATTACCTGCATATTTTATTTTATTTGTTAGGTAGGCAGGTGATATAATATATCAGTTAATGATTTAATAGTATGAATTCCAAAAATTAATTTATAATACCGTAATTTTCAAGGTAATTTTAAATTGTATTTAATTATATTAAATTTGTTATAATATATTGAATTATTAATTAAAATAGAATAAAAATTAAATAGATTATTAACGTGCATATTAATAATATAATAATCGTCATATTTTTTTTTTTATAGTATCAGTGTTGGTATTTTTAGATTATTGCTTCTGTTTTTCAACTGAAACTCGCTAAATCTATATTATAGTGCTACTATAGTTGCGTACTATGACCATCTGTGATTTATAATAATATGAATTTTACTTCTCAAATATATTTGAACATTTTAAATCAGTAATGTTCATGTTTGTGTTTTTAAATAAACCCACTAAAAATAAATAAACCTACTAAAAATCATTATTATTATTATTAAGCACTTTGGAATGCAGACAGCAGGTCATTTCAGGTCAGGCAGTGTGACATAATCTTGTCTGGACAACTCACCCTTGTAAAAACCTCTATTGTAGAAACATACTTATGGTATTTATTCAATGTGTTCATAAATCGTAATATTATATCACGTGTATTAAACTTAGTAATAAGCAAAAACAAATTATTAAGAATTGATTACTCAGACATAGAATGTACTGGATAGCGTTTGTTTCGCTTAATATTCAATCCTAGATTTAGTGTTGGTCACCACTTGCTGTTGTCTGCTATATTATATATTAGGAACATTAAAAGATTAAAACACAATTAAAAAATAATGCTCGTTAAAATAAAACCAAGATAAAATAACTATGTGTCGCTCTGTAATGGCATTTGTCTAATATACGTTAATTTAATATAAATATTAATTGTTTTTGATCTACCAAATTATCATTATATTAGAATTATAAATTTATACACAAAATAAAATCGTTATGTTAAATATAAATTATTGATAAAATAATGATTGATTTTTCGACTTGAATGAAACTGTTGTTATCTAATATTATTGAATATACCTATTCCATTTTAAAATCATAAAAATTAGAAGGAAAAATTGTCTTTGCTATTAAGCTGAGAACTGT